ACTGCTTCTGTGTACAACTGTTGGTGCAAGCTAGATTAAAGTGATTATTACGTTTTGAATATGGATATTTTTCTTACAAAAACGCATCGATTCGCTACAGAAGGCCTTTGTTCACCCCCCAGAGCCGTGTGAGACACTTTTTTTATGGATGGGCGATTTTATTTAAAGGAGACATATTATGCCCCTTTTTACAATATGTAATATAAGTCTCTGGTGTCCCCAGAATGTGTCTGTGAAGTTTCAGCTCAAAATACTCCACAGATCATTTATTATATCATTTTGAAAATGCCTATTTTGAGTGGAAGCAGAAACACGCTGTTTTTCATGCCTGCCTCTTGAAATGCAAATGAGCTGCTGCTCCCCGTCCCCTTTTCCAGAATAGAGCTGCACCATTACAGCTCATACCTGCTAAAACATCTGTTATGGTTCTGATTATCATGTTTATCGCGCTGAAATCATGCGGTTTAAACCATATGAGTTTAAACTTCTGATATACGGTTTTCTGAGTGCACACATCTGAAGCACATGGAAAGAAAGCGGCTGTCACGGCATGCGAGTACTAATCTAAATTCTTATTCACACACAAGTTTGTTAAAAACACACATGAGTTACAAAAACAGTCGGTTATGTCTGTGAAGGTAAACTGCTGGGAAATAAATCGCATGTTTATTTTAGATCGAAATAGTGTTCTGTGCTTGTCTGTGCAGACAAAGGCAGAACAGTTAGTATGTTTTGCTCAAACTTTCACCATGGCTTTAGAACTGGTACACCGTTGTCGCTTGCGAAATCAAAATGATGGCGCCATGGGTGGAAATTTACAGATTAAGGGGTGGTAATATTATAATGAGATCCCTTTGCAACGTCACCAAGAGAGCGAAATCAGACGTGCTCGTTTTCTCAGATGCTTGCAGAAAAAGGCTTACCAAAACAAAGTTGCTTGGTTAATCTTTTTCACGTTTCCTTGGTTGGTAGATGCACCGGGGACCTGATTATAGCACTTAAAACCTGGAACAGTCAGATTTTCATGATATGTCACCTTTAAGTTCTTTTGGACTGATGCACTGCAACACCCGTTGAGTGGCATTAAACAGCTTGAAAGATCAAAGACAATTTTTAATATAACTCCGACTGGATTCATCTGAAAGAAGAAAGTCATATACACCTAGGATGTCTTGGGGGTGAGTAAAACGCATCCTTTTTGGGTGAACTAACCCATTAAGTTGAAGTACTAAAAATAAATAAAAAATTTAAATAAATATTTTTTTTAAAAACACATAACAAAATTACAATGAAACCTGAAAATGTAAAAAATAAGAGATAATTCAAAATATGAATTAATATTATAATAGTACATAAACAATATTAAAATTACAAAAAATAGCATAACAAATACACCTTTATACTATATATATACAAAATATACTATGCTTGTTGTCAAAACTGCTACTTGTTGAAGTTTTTGTTACCAATAAAGTTTTAACACTGGTGAATGTAATTTCAGGTATGTAATATGTTTTTAATTTCAGGTATGTAAACTATTTTTAACATTTGTAACATATTTTTTGATTCTTTACTTGATAAGACATGAATTGTCGCACACAATTCAAATGAAAATTCTTTATTTTTATTTCTAAAATGCTAACTGGTCTCTTTTTGATCAATTAAAAACATATGTTCATGTTTCCAAAAGTAAGTAAAGTAAAATGGCCACAAATAATTTTTTTACTTTGATACATGTTATATTCCATAACTGGAACATTTACAACCCAACTGCAATGCAAGGACCTAAAACATTTTTAAATTATACAAATAGTGCAATTAACTTTAGCAGCCCTGAAATACTAAAATGAAATAAACTGAAACTAAACTATGGTGGGAAACTAAAACCAAACAAATACTAACAACAATAGAATAAAAACTATTGAAATCCATGCCAAATTGATAAATTGGAGGAAATTTAAAAATACAAATGAACATACAATATATATACTGCAGCAAAAGCAAGAGCAGTGTGGTAGAATGCAAACACAGCCATTGAGAATGTTTTTGCACACACACACCTATCAGCATTGATATACAACAGCAGTGCATTAGTACGAGCTCATATGAGCAGAAATGCTTGGAAGTTTGTCCTATTAACAGGAAGCAGCATGTGTTTGCGTGGTTGCCGTGCCACTGCCACATTCCTGTATTAAATCACCATAATAAAAGCCATCCTTGACATGCATGCCAACACGTCACAAACATAACAACTGGCCTGGAAACAGACATCAGTGCTGGACTGACACGAACCAAGGTTTCCTTAACAGGCCCCAAAACAGTCCGATGGCATCAGTGTGTCTGGGTTAATGGCTCCCAAGGCAGGCGCTCAAAAGAAAACAGTCAGGCACAGCTTTATAATGCCTATAAACTTCAAGTTTACCTGGACTTTCCTGTTCCAGAGGGTTTACCGAGACGGCCTGGCCCGAATTCCCCTTAAGCCGAGAGGCTGATCTGAAAGTCTTAACTGATCATACCGAGAGGAAATAGCCCAACAGCAGAATCCCAAAGAACCACCGCGAACACAGCGCCTGTCACTGACGGTTCTATTATATCTGCGATTTTTGAACAAATCAAAATCTACATTATCGACAGGTCTTGTGCTCCCATATTTAATAACTCTTTCACTATTTCAAAAAGGATAGTTCTGGTCCTGGATTCTGATTGGTCAATAAAGCTAAAAGCAAAAATACTGCTTAATATAAAAATATATTAAATCCATTATTGTTGATGTTTTTGAAAAAAGTATCTTATGCTCACCAAGACTGCATTTATTTGATCCAAAATGTTATATTGTGGAATATTATTACAATTTAAAATAGCAGTTTTTTTTATTTGAATAGTTTCAAATGTAATTTGAATGTAACACTTAAATGTGAAACTTGCTATTTTTTGTGAAAACTGTGATGCGTTTAATTCAGAATTCTTGATTATCTGAAATGCAATCTTTTGAAACAGTATAAATGTTTAATGTTTAATTTAATGCATCTTTCTGACCCCAAACATTTGAGTGATAGTGTATAAAAATGTTTTATATAGATATACAATAGACTTCAATAAATTGCATCAAAAAAAAGTTGATTCTAACCTGGCCAATGAAAAAGTTACATTAAAATCCAATTTTAAATAATTATTCTTCGTATTGAAAACTTCATCATCAGAATTTGTAGCTCACTAGGTTTTGGATCAAATCAGTGCTACTTTTTATTTTTATTTGTGTTTTGTGCTGTAAGTAACATTTAATATGATATAAACTTAATTGTCATGTTTAACCTACCAAGACAGCATCATAGGTGCGTTTTCGACATACTGGTTGTTCCCAAGCATAATTAGGAATAATTAATATCAAGCATAATTATATATCATAATAAAAGTAATTCAATTCATACCTTTCATTCAACACTGAATAATATTGATAAAGAAATGTTAAACCTAATTTAAAATGTCTTATTTTACCCAATGCTAGTAGACAGCAAGGCAGCTCACCTGGTTTTAGAACAGAGCCTATTAGATAGTATTAAATTCAAGAAGCTAATGAACCATGATCATTTCTCGGAGCAGCAGTTGTATGATGTGCAATTAAATCACCACAAAAGGAAGTGGCAAGTGTGACTCTGGTTTAATTAAAAGGGTCATATGATGCTGCTAAAAAGAACATTATTTGGTGTATTTGGTGTAATGAAATGTGTTTATGCGGTTTAAGGTTCAAAAAGCACATTATTTTCCACATACTGTACATTATTGTTTCTCCTCTATGCCCCACCTTTCTGAAACGCGTCGATTTGTACAAAGCTCATCAGTCTGAAAAGCTAGGTGTGCTGTGATTGGCAAGCTATCCAGTGCGTTGTGATTGGCCGAATTCCTCAAGCGTGTGATGGAAATGTTACATCCCTTACCATATTGTGATGCCTGCGGCAACATGTGACGGCCCCGGGCTGGACTCCGCTTCGTCCACGGTGAAAGCCGATCCAGCGATCGACAGCTCGAAGTTGTATTTCCTCAGCGACCAGCACTGATCAGCTCTAGGCATGACGAAGCGATTTCGTCCTCTTTTGGAAGGCCAAACAAAGTAGTTTCGCTTTCACAA